CAATTTATTCATATAAATGTTCTTGCAAGATGTAGATGATAACCGAATTTAGAAAAATAAAAGACCGGCAGATAATCGGTGGGAGTCATGGGCAGCCTCTTCAAGATCCGATGATGTGGGCCATAGGGGTAGGAGCCAGTGGTGGAGTCGAGGATGACAATGGGCTACTGCTCCGGAGCCATCAGCAGGAGCTTCATCCCCGACACTGAGGAGGGGAGGCTCGGAGCCCCCGAATCTAGGTTATTGGCCTCTGCATACTCGACGATGTCCTTCTTGCACTGGTAGGCCTTCTAGAAGTTTCCCGACACCATGATTGCACCACGTGGTCCTAGCATCTTCAGCTTGAGGTAGGCATAGTTTGGGACCACCATGAACTTAGTGTAGCATGGCCTCCCGAATATGGCGTTGTATGGTCCCTGGAAGTCAACAACTTCAAAGGATAATGTCTCCCTCCATTAGCGCATTGTGTCACCAAATCTCATAGAGAGGTCTATCGTGCCTAGGGGCATGATGCACCACCTAGGAATGATGCTATGGAAGGGGGACTACGATGCGTGTAGCTTCCTTATGTCCACATTTAGCCTGTCGAAGGCATCCTTGTAAAGGATGTTGATGCCACCTCCATCCATGATGATCTTTGTCACCCATACATTCTCGATGACCACACTAACCACTAGAGGAAATCGCCCACTTTGACCACTCGATCCGGATGATCGTCTCGATCATAAGTGATTGGTCACTTGAACCAGCTAGTAGGTATAGCGAGGCAAATCAAAAGCGTAGTGTAAATCCACCCCATTGGGTTAGCTTTATAGTCTTTGGTCTTGCTAGGCTTGAGGGCCACCAAATATGTGCATGGAGCACTGGCATCTATGCTGGTATTCTCGATCATCATCTCGGTCTCCCAAATACCCCATCCTAATCTGTCCGCTTTCGGCCTCCGAAGAGCGTACATGTAGCCGATAAGTTTATGCGCTCATTGGCGACGTGGGTCATGGGAAAGCCATGGTTTTGACATGGATATTAATGATCCGCTTGAACATGTCCTGCCAGTTTACTTTTGTGAGTGTTTGAGGCAATCCTTAGGACAAGGCTTTCAAGCTTGAGCGTGTAATGTAGACAAGGCCCATCTTCCGATAGGTATGATAGCGCCGATTGGTGGAGACTTGATGTTCACAATCTAGGCTTTGAACCAAGACTGATTTGGACCTCGCAACTATTACACCATCGCCCATTGGTTATCAACCACGCTTAACGCGATTGACCTCGCCGAGAAGGCTTTCATGTGTTTAATCGAGAACACAAGCAAGAACGGGATGAACGCAATCTAAAATTGCAAATAAATATGAGGATTATGACAATGAGGAGTTCAAGTCTTTATTCGAAAGGACTAATCGCCATAGGCGAACAAGATCAAGAACAGGGGCCCTGGTTCACAGCAAGCGGCCTTAGCAACACAGTTGCAGCAAAATGACGTCTGTTTCATGAGGAAATCAAGAACTAAACAAAACCCAAACCCTAACAAGAGTGACGCTAGTATAATATAGAGTCTTGGGCGTCACCCCCTGGACATGTCCCTAATGGGGGATACACGGTCCAACGGACCAAAAGACGGTGTCGCAGCACCCTGGTAGATTCTAGATGCTGATTTGTTTCGACGATTCCTGTTGATTCCGAAGGTCTTTTGACCTGAGACTACTTGCATTAGCTTCCTTATCTAATTATCTTTCCATCCATATGTGGATCATCAAAACGGAGCTCGGACGCCTGCCGTGTGACCAGTTTTATGACTGACTGGTCCTAGAACCCGAGATGGCCTATAACTTCAATTGTACTGGACCTCCACCATGAGAAAGATGAATTGGACGCCCATGCTGGACCTCCTCCTCTCCTTGGCTTGTATGTGA